CTCCACCTAAGAAAAAATTACAACTAAAAAAATACATTATCTTTTAATGGAGGCACAAATGCCTCCCTCATCCTTTATAATCAGAACTGGCAATTCAATTTTCCTTTCCTTCATTCTATGCCTTATCTGTATTCCCATCCTTTACCTGTTTTCCTGTGTCTGTTTTCATCCCTTAGCCCACTGGGCTACTCAAAGATTTCAACAATTCTTTTCTGGATCTAACCTTTTCATGGTTTAAAATTCTCCCAACATATTCATTACCTCCTCAGTTTTGCCAGTTTAGGAATATTATTAACTTACTGTTAAAGTAAAAAATTCAAGGACATTGTATGATATTAAATAGTGGATCTGGGAAGGGCTTGGGATGTCAAGCCACAGAAATGGAGTTTACCTTGCATGTTATTTACTACATGTGCATGTCTTAAGCTGATATTTAATCTATAGAAGTTCCTGAAATGCAGGCTGGAGAGATGGCTCAGCCGTTAAAGGCTAGGCTCACAACCAAAAATATAAGAAGTTCCTGAACTGCCATAAGTAAAAAATTTGATCTTTAACAATTGATTTTCATATTGTTCTCCTTGCTTATGAGGAATGTTCTTGTCATGATGGTAATTCTTTTACCTAATCACATAATATGGTAACTCTTGAACATCCAATAATTTTCTCTTTACCTTAGTGTTACATGAATATTAGTTCTGGGGAGAAAAAGTAGAAGGAACTGAAAAATAAAAAATAACAATTAGATGCCAAGTTGTGCTACTTTCTGTACACCTCTCTCTCTCTCTTTTTTTTTTCTGTACACCTCTCTTGATAGAGAATTTTTTTTTTCTGCCAATGTAACAGAAAAGTTACATGGCATTCTTATTTGTGTTTAATTTTCTCTTCAAAGTCATCTTCTAGCTCTATTTAAACTCTACCAGCTTGTTTTCATGGCTACTTAATGGCACCCGAATTATCTTTTAAGTATCTTTGAATCTCACCATTTATTAGCTGTGTAACACTGGACAAGTAAATAGACCTTCTTGTTCCTCATTTTAAAGAATATCTATAAAATCTTGGGGCCGGAGAGATGATTCAGCAGTTAAGAGTATTTGCTATTCTTGTAGAGGACCAGGGATGGGTTCCCAGTAACCACATATTAGCTCACAACCATCTCTAACTCCAGTTCCAGATCCAATACCTCTTCTGGCCTCATGCAGCACAGGCACCCAAGTGATGTGCATATACAAATGAAGACAAAACACTTACATACATAAAATAAAAACAAAATAAGTCTTCAAAAACATCTAATAAATAAATAAATGAAAAAATAAATGAGACTAACAGTAGTTATCTATTTTTAGAGTTTTTATGATTAAATGAAATAACATGTACAAAGGCTAACATTTAGTGTTACATGAATATTAATTCTCCTGAGGAAAAAAATAGAAGGGAATGAAAAAAAAATGATACAGGGTTGAGGATGTAACTTAGTGGTTGAACACATGCCTGGCATGCATAAAGACCTGGATTGCAATTCTAGCACTGTAAAATAATAAAAAAAATAAAGTGACAAGACGCACAGTAAGTTATTTCATTCTCACATAATCTTGCAATCTCTAGTTGGTACTCTAAAAATATTTTCCAAGAAGACACATCTAGTTAGGTTCCAGATGCTATCAATACAGAATTCTACAAACTTCACAAATGCCTTAGAAGTAACCAAATATTATGAATTATATTATTTCTGTTATTTTCTATCAACTGCTTTTTATATATCTGACACATCTCATATAAAGCTCATTCATTTGCTCTTGGGATCTTGATTCAATTATTTAAGCTAGCATCATATGCCTAGAAAGTGGTCTCTCCCAAACGGCATACTCTTGAATAGAGTCTAACATCTCAACTTTTACTTCAAAGATTTTTATTCTGCTATTTTTTAACAACTTGATTAATTATAAATATGCTTTGTTCATGATACTAATCATTTTTTTTACCTATTTATTACCTATTATTATTGAAGCCTAATTATTCTTCAAAGTCCTTCATTCTTTGGGAAATCTTCCCATGGCATACACCGAGTTTTCCTGTTTGCCTCCTCTTTTTGATTGTATGGTCTTGATTATTAAACTGAGAAGGCTATTTGTCAGGTTTTTTTTTTAGGTTTATATATTCGTATAAGTGTTTGTCTGCATGTATGTATGTGCACTACATTCAAGTGTCATATCCTCTGACACAGAGCTGCAGATGGCTATGAGTCCGCTTGTGAGGGCTGGGAACTGCACTCAGGGCTTCTGCAAGGGCAGCCAATGTTTTTAATAGCTGAGCCACCTTCACAGACCTGTATTTACCGGTGAACTTAATTTTCTCTTTCTTTTTTAATTAACCAGGCACGCTTTTAATCCCAGTACTTGGCAGGCAGAGGTAGGTGGATTCCTTCGAGTTCAAGGCTTGCCTGGTCTATATAGAGTTCCAGGCTAGCCAGAGATACACAGTTGGGACCCTGTCTCAAAAGCAAAAAAAAAAAAAAAAAAAAAAATTAATTATACACACACATATACTTTTTTTAAAAAGAGTGTGTGTGTGTTTAGGTCAAAGGACAACTTGGAGGAGTTGGTTCTCTCTTTCTACCCTATGGTTCTCACGAATGACCTCAGATCATCAGGCTTGGGAGCAAGAGCCTTTCTTTACTCAACTGGGCCATTTTGCTGACCACAGTTTCTTAATCTATTAGAAAAAAGACTGCTTGCCTTATCTATTTAGATCAGTTTCTAAGTATCACAAAATGATCTGGTTGAAAATAATTACTGAGAGTAGAAAACTCCTTTACACTAAAACTAGCTTAAAATGGATAACTTTAAGATATGTCTTTTATTACTGCAAATGCATCTTTATATTTTAAATTAATTTGAGCTATTTGCTTCACACAATCTATAACAATACTAAAATAACCAAAACATCCACTAAGGAAAGTGGTTCAATAAACTACATACTTTTTTTTTTTTTTTTTTTGGTTTTTCGAGACAGGGTTTCTCTGTGTAGCTTTGCACCTTTCCTGGAACTCACTTTGTAGACCAGGCTGGCCTTGAACTCACAGAGATCCGCCTGCCTCTGCCTCCCGAGTGCTGGGATTAAAGGCGTGCGCCACCACCGCCCAGCTCAATAAACTACAAAATACAGAATCCTATACAGCCATTTAAAATGATGCAGCAAACATCTATTTATTACACACAGTTGTTCATGTATTCTGTAAGGTGAGAAAAATGCAAAGTATAAAAAAGTATGCATAGTTTGATTCTATTAAAACGTATGTCTTAAAATTATATTAAAGATACATAATAAAGCTGGTGGTGGTAGTGGTGCACGCCTTTAATCCCAGCGCTCAGGAGGCAGAGGCAGGAAAACCTGTCAAACCTATGACCATGGAGCTCACTTCCTACAAAGTATAAAAAGGAAGCACTGAACTCAAACATGATGGAAACTCAGCTAGATAAGGCCATGCTACCTCAACACATAATAAAAACGTACAAAACAAGTGGCCTGAAATGATGTAAAACAAATGGTTTATTCTTATAACATCTGATGCAATACCATTACATCTAAGGTTTGTAAGACTTGAAAGAAAGAGAACGAAGACATTCACACAGTTTTTGTAAATTTTCATTCTAAAGGCTTATTTCTCAAAGTTACTTCAAAAAGTTAGGTCAATATGGACCACTTTCAAAGTTTTAGTTAAACAAGCTAGGCCTTGTTTTAGTAGTAAACATTACACTACTACTTTAAAAACCGCCCCGTGTGTGTGTGTGTGTGTGTGTGTGTGTGTGTGTGTGTGTGTGTGTGTGTGTATGTGTGTGTGCATATGTATGATCATTAGAACTCAGGTCATCAGGTTTGGTGGCAAGAGTTTTACATGCTCAATCATTTCTCTGGCCCTATACTTTATCAATGATTCATTACACACATGTTTTAGAACATACTGTGTTCTATTTAACGATTTAAGTAACTAAAAAATCACTTCCTCATTTGGCCAATTTAATTAACTATGTTGCTGTGGGAAGGAATGAAAATGAAATGCACAATGATGTTTGGAACCACAAGTCATTTTGGTAAGCAATTCTTATTTTTTTCTTCCATCAAGCAATTTTTTAATAAAGGTTAATAAAACTGACCATATGTTTTCATCTCACCTATCCTGTAGTAAATCAGAAATAAACCGATTAAGACAGACAACAGAAAAAGCAAAAGCAACAGAAGCCTATCAAAAAAAAAAAAAAAAACTTCTGTTGTTCAAATAGGCTGATGGCAAATATACAGGGCATTTAAATTGGGCAAAAGACATACTTAGAAATGCCCCTCCCTTTTTTTCAAGACAAGGCTTCTCTGTGTAACAGCACTGACTATCTTAGAACTTGCTTTGTAGACCTGCCAAGAAATCACAGAGATCTGCCTGCCTTCTTAGTGCTGGGATTAAAGGTGTGTACCACCACCACCTGGCTTACAAATCTTTTTATAAGTAATATACTTTATACTTGGTGTTTTATTAGTTGACATAATTCCCAGGTTCAGTTTTTTTCTAGATATGAAAATATATACTGAAAACAAAGTTCTAAAAAATATGTAATATGGGGAATAAGTTCAGACACAGTAAATAATATGATTACTCTAGACAAAGAAATGAACTGCTATACTTGTGTGTCCTTAGCTTGGAAGAAAAAAAATATCACTTAATGTAAGTGATGAGACACATCATTTACAGGGAAAAATATAAAAATACAATATTTAAGTATGTCAAATTGAGATTCATTCTAATGTATTATACTAGTTATTTTTGTTAGTATATAAAAATGTTTCCTGCCCTGGGTTTTTAATCCTGTGAAATAAAACTTGACCCCCACATACACATAAGTAAGTACACAGATGCATTTCATTCTATCAACCAGAGCTTCCATAATGCATAATTGAAAGAAAAATGTAATTACACTTAAATATAAGAAGTCCTGCCCACTGGGTCAGCTTACCAGATTTGTGCTTCTTGTGTTTTCCTTTCTTTTTAATGATCAATAACTTATTTTGGATCTCAGGTTTGTAAGACTTGAAGGCAAGAGAATGAAGACCTTCACGCTTTCTTTGTAAATTTTCATTCAAAACATCTTTCAATTTCTTTTTTTTCTTTTTCTTCTTTTTCGCCCTCATTTTAGTTAGTTTGAGTTTTTTGTGGCTCTGTAGCGAGTGCTCTAACAATATATCTCTTACAACTCTGTGGCAGTTAATATCCTGATGATCAATGTGACTTCCATTTATATGAATCTGGCAAGATTTCAGAGCATTTTCTTTTAATGGACTGGGTTCTGTCTTTATTCTGGAAGCTTCACCATATTTTTCCTGATTTTCTATAAATCTTATTTCACCTGGACTGAGTGGCTCTCCAAAAGCAGTAACTTCTCCTGGACTTCTGGGCTTCTCCAAATTTTCTTTACAACAATCAGTTTTTTCCATTCCACATGGACTGTGGACTTTAATGTCACAGTTGGATTTTACTTCCATTTCAACAGAGATGTCATGATTATCAAAGTTCATTTTAGCAGGACAACAGGCTGGATCAAACTCCATTTCCTGCTCTTTCTTGAAGGCTGAGGGCAGACTTTCTCTATTACATCTGTGTTCTCCATTACTTGTACTAACATGGTCACACTTGAATTTCTCCAGTTTAATTCGAGGTACTCTTTTTACTTTAATGGGTGGAACTGGAAATTCTGGAGCCTGGAAGGGCCTTTGTTTATAAATCCGTACATCTGCACCACAGAACTGTGGAAAGTGCACATAAGCATTCTCCAGATAGTCGTAGCCAAGGATGACTTCCCTACACTCATGAATGGGCTGCCCAAGCACAGCATCCTGAACTTCTTTCTGTGTCTCATACACAAAGTCACAGAGTCCTTTAAGTAACCACACTTTCTGGTAGAAAGGTAGCTCGTGAAAAGGTTTTTCTTCCAAGGGATTAACTTCTCCAAGAACCTTAAAAAACTGAGGACATAAGCCAAGTTTCTCAGCACAGTTATCAGGATGTTCGGTCTGTCCCATAGCAGTATACCACTGCTGTACCTTCTGTCTCAGCACCGCTTCCCAAGTCCGGTAAGGCAAAGTGGGTCTTCGATGTAAGGTAGGTCTGCGATGGGGAGGACTGAGTAAAGAAGTCATTATTTTAGACAGAAAGGCATTGCACTGGGGCATCAGAAGACAGCGTTCCAGTTCATAAAAGACAATTTCTGGCAAGTTTAGAATCTGTTGGGCTAAACAAAGGAAATGCCCAATGGCTGGAATTTCCCACATGTTCTCCATACAGGCTGGAGCTGCTTGAGCAAGGAGTTTTCTTTCCCACTCTTCTACTTCCTTTTGACAAGCTTCTTCCGCTTCTTTTTTTTCTTGCTCCCGAAGCCTAAACAAAATTTAAATTATACTACTATTACTTACAGACAGCAGCATAAAACACTGAAATTTAAAGTTATATTTATCTTCAGTAATTAAGACAACTGACTTATGTTTTCCACATGAGTCCTAAGTGCCCCATTAAAAGTACGCTGTGCCTCAATCCTCATAAAGAAATACATATTCCCCTGTATCCTCAGTTTTATGGATGGAGACCTATCACTAACACCATCTCCAGGGTGAAACACTTGAACTTATAACATATATCTACTTTAGCTAATAAGACAGTGAATTTTGACTGTAGTCATTTCTATACTATGACTTCATTTAAAAGCTATACAATGTTTATATTTTTACCCACATTATTTCATTTCTATAAAATTATAGCAGTGGGGCTGGGGATGTAGACAGTTTGTAGAGTGTCTGTCTAGCATATAAGAAGCTCTAGGTTTGATCCCCAGCACTGCATAAAAACAGGGTGCTCAAGGCCATTCTTAGCTACATTGTGAGTATGAGATCAGCCTGGAATATGAGAAACAGTGACTCAAAAAGAGAGAAAAGATTATAATAAATAGTAAATAATAATAATTTAAGCAAAAAGTTATGTGCTTGTCAGTGTTACATGGAGCTCTATTAGACAGAAAAAAAGGAACTATAAAGAAACTGTAGGGGATAGAGAGATGGCTCGACTGATAAAGTACCTGCTGCAGAAGCATGAGGTTGTGAGTTCTGATCCCAGCCTCCATGCAAAAGCTGGGCGCAGTGGTGTGCAGCTGTGAGCCCACTATTTGTGCGTGTGTGTGTGTGTGTGTGTGTGTGTGTGTGTGTGTGTGTGCAAAGTGGTAAAGACAGATGGATTCCAAAGCTCACTGACTAAACAGTCCTACCAAGTAGTGAGCTATAGGTTCAGTGAGAGACCTTGTCTGAAAAAAATAAGGTGGAGAGTGATAGAGGAAGATATCTGATGCTGAGCTCAGGTCTCTACACAGACATGCACTTGCATATACATGAACACACACCTCAGACACATGTACACATACCATAAATACACAAAAAAATTATATTACTAGCCAGTATATGAAACGAGCCAAGATATCCATCATAGATAAATGGATAAGGAAAATGTGGTAACATACACACAATGGCATATTACTCAGCCATTAAAGGAATTAATTTTTGTTATTAGCAATATGAACAAAACTGGAAATCATGATGCAAGAAAAATAAACCAGATACAGAAAAACAAAGGTTCCAAGTTTTCACTCATTTATAGAAACTACAAAATCAATCTAATGGAAGAACTAAGTGCATTTGGACATCCAAACAGTGTTAAATATCATTAACGAGATTCAGCTGTTGAGGGCTAGCACGACGGCTCAGAGGGCAAGCCACTTGTTGCCAAGCCCAATGATCTGAATTTGACCTCCAGGATGAACACAAAGAATCGGCTCCCACAAGTTGCCCTCTGACTTCCAAATACATGTTATATGCAGGTAAGGAGCAAACACAAACATATTAAAAAAGTTTTAATTTTATGACAAAACAGAACAAACAAGAAGATACCCCCTCTAATATGTTTATAATTTTGAAGAATTTTATTTTTACTACATGGGAGTGGCAGGAGTAGCATGCTGGAAGAATCTGGCTTCTTCCTTTATAAAAACACCAATCTGAGAGGTTTCAACTTGATTATTAAAAAAAAAAAAAAAAGAACAGAACATATTCCTAGAATGATAGATACAGCTGTGCCTTAGCAGTTCAGGCCCAAAAGGGATGGCAGAATCCATAAACTTTCAGTCTTACATGTTGTCAGAAAACCTGTCAACAATGGTCCGAAACCTAGTACCAAAGCACCCACGATTCAGTGTCTAGTTATTCCCCATGTTCTGCAACATAAATGTTTAAGTATTGTCCTGAAGAAACAACACACTACGAAAAATAAGGCTATAGAGTATGCTAAACCTTTGACCAAGAGAATGAAGGAAGCTAAATTAAAAAGTCAGCAACAGATTGTCAAATGGCATACACTATCTATAACCAGCACTAAGGATATTTTAAAAAGCCACATGTAAACCCATTTTATAAGCATTTAACTAGTTACCCTCCACAGGGAATTTTGGTTCTCTGCAAAGCCATACACTGCCAAATAAAAAGCCCACTGCCAGGTGTGTGTTACCTTCCCTCCAGTAGTTGGTCAGAGGTTTCCCAGAGACCCTCAAAGCAATACAGGCTATTGACACTGCTCTTGCTTGCCTACTAGAACTTAATGGAAAGACCCTATTGCTGAAGACACCACATATATAGGTCATAGGAGATGGTGAAATCAAGCTGGTGCTAAGCAGAAAGCTTTTTCTGTGATGGCTTTCATAATACTGGAAGGTGTGATGTAGGCTGCTGGGTAAAAAGTCAACAGTCTCACCCAGCTGAGAACCCCATGAGCTATAATAACCACCACTATGGCAAGATATCTCATAGTGCAAAGGTGGTGCAAACGTTATGAGGGTGACCAACCACTTTCTGGCTGGATTTATTAACGCCTGCTCCACAGGAGAAAATGAATGCCTGGTGTGGTGGTGTGAAAGAAAATGGCCCCCAGAGGGAAGGACACTATTAGGAGGTGTGGCCTTGTTGGAGAAAGTGTGTCACTGTGGGGATGGCTTTGAGGTCTCCTTTACTCAAGCTACACTGTGTGATACACAGTTGCTTCTGCTTCCTGCAGATCAAGATATAGAACTCTCAGCTCCTCCTCCAGTACCATGTCTGTGTGCATGATGCCATGTCCTGTCATGATGTTAATGGACTAAGCCTCTGAAACTGTAAGCCAGCCTCAATTAAATGTTTTCCTTTGTAAGAGTTGTTGTGATCATGTCTCTTCAGAGCAATAAAAACCCTAACTACCACACCTGGTACTGCCAATTTGGCCAAGGACCCATGGATGGGGAGCTCACAGACCCCAGGAATAAACCTACAATTATTCTACTAAATGGCTAGAGTATCAAACTGCCTTCTAAATCTCTTTCTCTGCACACAGATTAGCACAGCTATCAGATCTCACTAGAGACGTACTGTGGATGATGGCAAACATAGGAACTCCTAACTAGTCACAATGCAGAGAATATGTGTCAATGGAATGCTCAGCCATAGTAAGGACAATTATATCACACCCTCACCCCAATATTCAGAGACCATTGTGGAAGAGGGGTGGGAAAGAGGGGTTGTAAGAGCCAGGGGTCAGGAGGACCGGAGCAGAACAGTGTCTTCTGGACATGACCAGAATGCTGCACTCAGGAACTCACAGCAGCTGTGGCTGCTGGCCTAAGACCCACACAAGATTAAGCCAGTCAACATGCTGGAATGTAGGGGAAAGGATCACAAGTCCCAGGCATAAGTGATGAGCTACGGCAGGTGCTGCCTCCTCGGGAGGAGAGTCAGTTGTCTTAAGAGTGTGGCCCCTCCTAGGCTGGCCGGGCTCCGCTGGGCAGCACAAACTGGACTCAGTAGGTTATTGAAAAGAGAAAGAGGACATGAACATGAGAGAGAAGTAACAGGTAAATTTGGGAGGAGTGAGAGGGAAGAGTGGGGGTAAACATAATCAAACTACATTGCATGAAATTTTCAAAGAATTAATATATTTAAAAAAATCAATCAAAACGATCCAGAAATGATAATGGTGTTAGAATTAGCAAACACTGTGAGAGTTATTGAAACTGTATTTTGCATGGTCAAGAAGTTCACTTAAACTAGGTGTGTGAGGCACAAGCCTGTGATCCCAGCACTTGGGGGGCAAAGGCAGGTGAACTGCTTCAAGATCAAATTCAGTCTAGATTAGCCAAGGCTAGCCAAACAACAAAACAACAAATTTCACTTAACTTGGAATGTATTTAAACAAAACCAAACCAATGCTGGGCGGTGGTGGTGCACACCTTTAATGCCAGCACTGGAGAAGCAGAGGCAGGATGATCTCTAAATTTAAGGCCAGCCTGGTCAACAGAGTGAGTTTCAGGACAGCTAGGGCTACACAGACAAACCCTGTCTTGAACCTCCACCCCCTGCAAAAGAAACCAAATTGAACCCCCCCCCCACCCTACCCCCAAGACAGGGTTTTTCTCTGTGTAGTTTTGGTGCCTGTCCTGGATCTCGCTCTGTAGACCAGTCTGGCCTCGAACTCACAGAGATCTGCCTGGCTCTGCCTCTCGAGTGCTGGGATTAAAGGTGTGCGCCATGACCGCCTGGCTCAAATTGAACTTTTATAGGAAAATTAAAATGCTTGAGATTAAAAAAAATACACTAAATGGGATTAATGACAATTAGAGGCAACAGGGAAAAAGACCAGTGAATATAAAATGCATGAAGGAAAATACTTTCACAGAATATATTTAATTAAGAAAAATGATCATAGAAAGAAATTATAAAATAACAACAATGATTAGGAATAAACTGTAAACCATCTGGGTAAATATATTAATAAAAAGTAATGTTTAGTTTGGTGATAAAATGATATGGCTGAATTATTAATAAAAAACAATATAGACTACGTGTTATGGTACATGACTGTAATCATGGCACAAGGGAGGCAGAGGCAGGAGAATCTCTGTGAGTTCGAGGCCAGCCTGGTCTACAGAGTAAGCTTCAGGAAAACCAGGGCTATACAGAGAAACCCTGTCTTGAAAAACAAACCAACAAAAAAATCTTTTTGTTTTTCAAGACAGGGTATTTCTGTGTAGCTTTGGAACCTGTCCTGGAACTCACTCTGTAGACCAGGCTGGCCGTGAACTCACAGAGATCCACCTGCCTCTGCCTCCTGAGTGCTGGGATTAAAGGTGTGCACCACCACTGCCCGGCTCCAAAAAATCCTAAATCAAAAATTTAAAAACCAAAGATGAGTCAGGTCATTTGAAGATCCTGTTTATTTAATTTGAATTATAGATTCTATTTATTTTACCAATAAATGGAATCTCTATAGACTTATAAACTAAGATAAACGGAATTTCCTCTTTAAAATTCTATTGT